GTGCTGCACAAGAGGGGGGTCTGGCAGGTGGCTTTGACCTCAGAACACTATGGAAGGCCCCCCTCTCTACCAGTGGACTCAGCGAGAAGACCCTTACAGACCCCCACCCCCAGCCTGTCCTTCCCCCAGCAGCCTGGGGGGCCACGTCCCCTTGACGACCCTGGTGGAGCCAAGCTGGTCCCAGGCAGGAACCTCCCCCCCTAGGCTCTCTGCCACCCCCCAAACCTGGGTTCAGTGTTTACTTTCTCATTCGAATGCCAGCAACAAAGGGCCCTGCAGGAGGCCCCGGTGTGGGCAGGCGGGGCACTGGGAAGGGTCCTGTCCACTCTCCCCCGTCCTCACCCTCACAGGCCAGAGGAGGGCCTCCCAGGGCAGGCGGGGCCCAGTCTCGCCGCTGCGGGTGTCTGACCGGGTGTCTGACCGTGGATGCGTGCGGACTTCCTCGTTTCTAAGCGTCACCTGCCTGCCCCCAGCCCAACGCGCCCTGAGACATCAAGAGCATATTTATTTTCAGAGTGAGACGATTTCTCCCAGAGAAAGGACGATCTCGGAAAAGATTTCAGAATTCAGATCTCAACCTGACAAGGTTTTGTTGTTTTTTTTTTAGCCCCTCCTCCCCCGCCCCCCGCCATCCCCATCATCCTCTTCAGGGTTCCCGTCCATGGACTTGGCGCTCGTGCGTGTGTAAAGTCCAGCTGAGGGGGAAGGAGGTGTTCGAAGTTCAGACCCCACTTCTGTATATAGGCGGCCGTAAAGGACTTTTTCTCGGGAACATTGTTTCTTGTAGAAACACGTGGGAAGACTTTTTTTGCTCATGTCTTTGTACTTCCCCCCAAAAAACAAAACAAAACAAAAAAATCACACCAGTCCCCCCGCACCCCAGGACGCAGGACAGGCGTGTACATAATTTATGGAAAGTGACCAGGACTCGTCCTCACCGTCGGTGGGCACCCACCCTGCGAGGGGCCTCTGGAATCTCAGCTTGTGTCAAGCTTGTTATCATGTAAATTCTGTACAAAGAATCGTTATTTTTCTCTTTCTCTCTTTTTTTTTTTTTGTCGTTGGTGATTTTGTTGTGTTCTTTTTCTTTCTTTCAATCTCTTCACCCCAAGCCCTCTCTGTTTGAGACTGTGCCCGCCACGTCATCGAGGCCGATGAAATCGGTGGCATGAAGACACAGAGGGGGACCTGGGCATAGCGGCGACCTTCTCTCCCATTTGCGGTTTTCTGCCTAATTGTGCAACCGAGGAAATATTTATTTTTCACACGAGGAAATGTGTAGTTTGTAGAGACGGCTGATTTCAGTTATTGTGCAGCCCCCAAGGGGCTGTCTTTGTTCTCCCCGCCCCCCCCCCAACAGAGGAAGTGGAGGGGACGTGAGGAGACCTGGCCTCACCGAGCCGTCCCCCTGTCCCCAGGAACCCCCGCCCCAACCCTGGAGTGGCTTGTCATTTCCAGGAATGTGTTGGCTCCTTTTTCTTTCAATGCCTTTGTTTTCATTGAACAAATCTTTGCTTTGGAAGAGTTGGGGGTTTCTGTCCCCTCCCCCCCTTGGCCTCCCTCCCCCGTCCCACGAAGAAAAGAACCCTCACCTTTTAGGGGTGTTTGTGCATCTAGGCTCTATCATCCGTATGGAACTTGTTTTGAAGAGAAGTGTTTCCGTTGTGGGTGTGTCTTGCTGTAAATATTTGTTCATATTTTTGTGAATTCAATACTATGTACCATTGTATTATAGTAACTTTTATAAAGCAAACCATAAATATACTGACTTTTCTTACAGATACGCCGTCTCTCTTGCTCTCCTCTCCCTCCTTCCTGTTGGGGGGCACACCCTGCCCCGTGGAGGGTGGGCTGGCTGTGCTGGGGGCAGGAGGGGGTCGGTGTGATATGGTCCACCCAGGCCAGCAGGTCTTAAACTGAGTCACAGCTTTTTTTAAAAATGTATATATTTTTATTGATTTCAGAGAGGAAAGAAGAGGGAGAGAACGAGAGAAGCATCAATGATGAGAGAGAATCATTGATCGGCTGCCTCCTGCACGCCTCACGCTGGGGATCGAGCCCGCAACCCCGGCATGTGCCCCGACCAGGAATCGAACCGTGACCTGGTTCATAGGTCAACACTCAACCACTGAGCTACGCCAGCCGGGCAAGTCATGGCTTTTGGGAGTTTTCCATCCAGACCCTTTCTTAAAACCTTGGGAATCTAACACGGCTAATAGTCTGCAGTGAAGAAACCAGGTCCAATATCCTGCTGCCATCACTAGAACTCAGAAATGGTGGACATTTAAGGGGACAGTGCTCTGTCTGCATTTGAGGAGGGAGGGGACGGATAAAACAGGTTGAGAAGAGTGAAATATATGCAGTGTTTGTGGTATTCCAGATAGGGCTCAACTCTGCCTGATCCAGTGGTGGGGTGATCGAGGGACCCACGAGATTTTTTTTTAACTTAAATTATGGTTGAAAGTATTACATATGTTTTCTCCCCTCCCCATTGACCTCTCCCTGGCCACTCGTCCCGCCCCGCCCATTTTTTTAACATTTACTTTAGAGCCTGGCCAGTGTGGCTCAATGGGTTGAGTGTCTGATTTTGAAGAAAATTTTCCTTCCAAGAGTTTTAGGACTAGTAGCTCCTCTCCCAACTGCGTCATTCTTTCCCAAGGGTCATTCACACTTGAGTATGAACAAGCAAGGCTGCACAGATCCCTCCTACCCGTTCTACCTCTCAGACCGGAAACCATGTCCCATGGTTGCAGAGCAAGAATGCTCCCCCAAAGTCTCTTTGCTAACCCTGCCCTCTCTATGCCCAGAAGTTTGGGCTCAGGGCAGCAAAGTTGGGAAGGGCTCATCTTTAGAGATCAGAAAGGCGCCAGACAGGAGAAGGCTGCCAAGCGCGGTTCACCTTCAGACCTTGACTCGCTGTTCCCTCTTCCCGGGATGCTGTTTTTCCAAATTTTCCCACGCTGGCCCCCAAATGTCACCCTTGATGGAAAGTAATCCCAATCTCCAGCTTCACCTCCACACAGTCTCACCACCCGCTTTCTTTTTCTTTTTTAATGTATTTTTATTGATTTCAGAGGGGAAGGGAGAGGGAGGGATAGAAGTATCAATGATGAGAGAGAATCATCGGCTGCCTCCTGCACTCCCCACACTGGGGATGGAGCCTGCAACCCGGGCATGTGCCCTGACAGGGAATGGAACCCTCACCTCCTGGTTCATAGGTCAACATTCAACCACGGAGCCACGCCCGCCGGGCCCTGCTTTATTTTCTTTCTTTTTTTAAAAAAAATATATTTTATTGACTTTTTACAGAGAGGAAGGGAGAAGGTTCGTTAGAGAGTTAGAAACATCGATGAGAGAGAAGCATCGATCAGCTGCCTCCTGCACACCCCCTACTGGGGATGTGCCCGAAACCAAGGTACATGCCCTTGACCGGAATCGAACCTGGGACCTTTCAGTCCGCAGGCCGATGCTCTATCCACTGAGCCAAACCGGTTAGGGCCCTGCTTTATTTTCTTGATAGCATTCACCACTTCAGGAAACGATACTGCCTTCCCCTCTAGAGTGTAAGCCCTCTGCCCGCCCGGGTTCCAGAGTTACCCATGACCGCGCGGTCCTGTTAGCAAAGCGCTCGCACCTGGCGCCTCGCCTCCCGCGGGGGCACCCACCGCCTAACACGGACGCCTCCTGCGGCGCTGCTGCCCCCTGGCGGCCAAACGGCGTCACTGCGCCGGCCTCCCACACAGACACCAAGACACCGCATTGGATCCCTGTCCGCTTTATTACCCTGGACGAGGGCGTGGTCAGGAGGTGGGCGGAACCTTGAGGGTCCCCAACGAGCTGGTGGGCGGGATCTGGAGGGAACGGCCAGTAGGAAGGGCTTGCTGTTCAGAGACGGTGGGGTGGGCGTGTTCCAGAGCTAGGGGGCGTGGCCCGCCGTGCGCTGGCAGGTGGGCGGGGCCTCGGCAGCTCAGGCGGGACTCGCGGGTCTGTCTACATGCCCCGGATCACTCCGTTGGGCTCCAGGTCTGTGAGGTTGCCCCGCATGTTCTGCTCCTCCTCGAACGCCTTGAACAGTGCATTGAAGTTGCCGGCTCCAAAACCCTGCAGCGGGAGAGAGGAGGTGAGTTGCGAGTCCAGAAAGCCAGCCAGGCTCAGCTGCATGCCCGCCCCCTCGGGCTCGCTGGGGACGGGCGCCACCTACCTGGTGGTTGTGGCGCTGAATGACCTCCAGGAAGAGGGTGGGCCGGTCCTGCATGGGCTTGGTGAAGATCTGTAAGAGGTAGCCGTTCTCGTCGTAGTCCACCAGGATTTTAAGCTCCTAGGTTGGAGACAGAGGGCAGGATGAGGGGGAGGCCCACCTGCCCGGCACATGGGGTCCTTAGAAAGTCCATAGGAAGGGGCTCCTGCACCCCCTAAGCCAAGAAAAGACCTGTGTCTCCAGCAGTTCCAGACAGCTCAGAATAGATCCTCTCAAAACAAATAAGTAAATAAAAATTAAAGAGATCCCCAATTGCATCATGGCCGGCCTGGACCACCCGAGTAGCCTCCACAGAGTTCTCCCTGCTTCTGCTTCTGCCTCTTCGCAATCCATCTTCCCGACATGCACTGACCACCAGGGGGCGGTGCAGAACATGGCCGGTGTCGGAGAAGCGCGGCTGCGGGTGTTGCTGGCTGGCTGGGCCCGGGTTGAGGGATGGTGGTGCCTGGCCA